AAAAAAAAAAAAAAAATGGAAGTTACAAACATGTCTCTCTCCATCCATTGCCTCATTCAATGCTTGCCTCTCGACCAAAAGTAACGGGACTTGCTGGGTAATTTTCATATTCAGCCCTTCAAAGAACTCAAGTATATCGAGAAAAAGCGGCTGGCACTCATCAGTGTCCATAACTGCCGAGTCCAAACACTCCAGGCAGAGCTTTCGACCATCGTTAAGTGCAGCAAATCTCGCATCCCATGACTGGCAAAAAAGCAAAACAAACCAAACTGATTAAACAAAGTTTGGTTTAAGTTTTACTGTTGCAAAAAATTTAGAGGTTTTTTCAGAGATTGGAGTCCCAAAAAACTCACCTCCATTCTCTCACAGCTACAGCATCGAGCTGTACCATCATGCTCATGGCTCGGGCAGTACTTTTGGGACCAAAAAGGATGAGCCCTATATTCAATTAGGCCAGCTGCATTTGTAGGAATCTGAAGCAAAAATAATAAAATAAAATAAAAACACAATAACTTTTAGATATGAGTGCAAATATCTAAGCAGGAACAGAACTTGTATTACTTTACTCGGACAAAAATATTATTCTTCTATTCCATAGTTGGCCTTTCCAAACTTTAGACAAACTCAATTAGATAATGAGCTTATATTTTTATGAGTTACTTTTTTTTTAGCTATTCATATGGGAAGTTAGTACATTTGTGAGCAAAAGGCACGGCCACACAAGTTACGTAACATTATATCATTTCAAGGTGCAAATTTAGCTTAAATAGCAAACTGGGATAAAAGATGATATGTGTGATAATTTTTAGAAAAACTCGATTCGGTGAATAGATTGTCCACACGTGAAATACTTACAAAGTGACTGCAGATATCACATTTCGGATGATACGACTCCTTGTAGCAAGTCTTGTGATACGGGTAGCTCCCATACATGGAAAACTGCAGTTTCAAAATTTTAAAACTTTTGATTATTTAATTTAATATGAAAGGTAGGTTATGCAAGCATTTATTTATCACATTTAGCACAGATGCATTAGTATAAGAAAGGCAAAAGTTTATTAGTCAGGACTTCATTTACTAAGCGAATGATTCTGAATTTACAGGTAAAAAGGTATCCCTTTTGTCAAGATAAGGTTCTAAATCATATATGCACTTTTACTATTCACCTTTCTAAATAGCAAAACTTAATGCCAATCATGCAACACAGCTTATAATAATAATTAAAAAAAAAAAAGAAATCTAAGCATGCAATTCCGAATATATACCATAGAGGACTCTTAACACATCAAGAGTTGGGAGATTATATACAAATCTAACGAGCAGTTAAATGTGTAGCTTTTTAGCTTTTGTGATTCGGACATAAGATCTCATTATAGCAAGACAATCAGTTGAATACTATCACATGATTAACAACATATAAGCTATTCGGCAAACTTTCATAGACGAATAAGAATCGCGTACCTCGTAATCCGATATTGGTTGCCTGCATGCATGGCATCTAAAACATTCTGGGTGCCAAACTGCACTCATACAACTTAAAAATCTCCCATGCCCGATTTCTGTGTTACAGCCAGCACATATCCTAACACAGAAGATGATGTAAGTAAGAATGAAGCACAATTTATCATTGCCGACAGTGAAAGGGTGACAAAAATACTGATGGAATTTAAAAGGTTACAAGCACATTGAACGTAGATAAAAGCTTTCTCAGCAAACAGAGACAACTGTAAGAAGTATATCACGTGTTTTTTCCTCAAATTTTAAGTGCCATCATTTTGCTTCAATAAAAGACTTTTGCGCTCAAGAAGTACTTGGCAATGTTTTAGTTTTGACGAATTAAGTGTTAAGAAACGAGTGGGTAGTATAATTATTTTGCTTAAAATTGATGTTAATTTTTAGTTCATACAAAAAAAATTCAGCACCAATAATCGATTTACCTGAAGCCTACTGAATATGGAAACTGTATAGGCTGGTAGAGACTCTCATTTTCATGCCCATATCCGCTTTCATATCCATTTTCAGAAACATTTTCATTTTGATTGTGTGATTCGGGTGGAGACTCGACATTCAAGCTCTCCTGAAGAGCCCTGGCAAGTTGTTCATCTTCTTCTATATGCGGTTCACTGTCTATCCAGACATAGATATCCTTTAATAAACTGGGTATATAAATAGATTACATCACCTCAATAAATTGCTCAAGCAATAGAAAAGTAACAAGCATAGATATTCTCATATTCCGAGTAAAAAAAAGGTGTTTACTGACCAAACACAAAGAAAAAAATACAGAGTAGCGGCACAATTAATTAGACAGTCAAGCAAAAATTAAATTATATAATTCATCAAGGGCTGATTTAAATGCAAGCAACAAATTGAGCTTGAGAACCATTTCGAACGATTAAGTTTCTGAAGAGGTCTCTTTTGATGAACAATTATTAAAAGGGAAAACATTTCCACTAAACTCAGGTCAGAGCCAGTAAAAGTTTATTTTAGGAATTATTTATTGCATATAATAATAAAAGTCCATCACTGAAGGACTAACCAGTCACGCTGTTTCTTTTCTGTTCTTCTTCTGAAAGTGATAAAGCAATAGCACGGTCGATGTCTCCAATCTCTGACCATGAATCATCCTAAACATCCACTCCTTTCATGAATAAGATTTTCATTGAGAGTAATAAATAGGAAGGTCAAACAATTTGATGCAGTGAATCGAGTATCACTCCACCGTCAAATGGCAAATGTAAAAAGACCAAGATATAATTAGTGAAATATGAAAGAAATTGATCATATTCTAAACAAGTCAAATATACCAGCTTAGGAATTAACGTGTATCCTTAAGGTGAATGGGATTCAAGTAGGATTGCTAAAGTCTCGGATATTCCATTCAAGATGAAATTAAAATCAATTTTTTTCGAAGTTGAGCTGATCACCATCTTAATTCTTACCAAATCAGTAAATAAAATGATTTAAATGCAAGCCTACTCCTTCAATCATGCCGTCTACATTTTTTGCAACATGGAATCTAAATTAACTGATTGGAATCAGAAAAATGAGCATTCATTTCAAAAATCACATCTCATGCTCCTAAGCAAGCACAAACGTATATTAAGAAAGAGAGAGTCAGATATCAATAATCAAGATTAAATAATGTGAAAAAGATAACATAAAATCATCTAATAAAACCACTAACCATGAATTACAGGTTCTAAACGTGTCTAAGCCAGGTATGACTTCACATTACTAGTCAGTCCAGCATAAAAGCTAGACACAATAAAATTAAACAATAAATAATAAGAAAATTCAAATACTTACCCACGATGTAGATGGATTATTTTCTACGGTATCAGCTTCAGCTTCATACCTCCAATCGTATCTTCCCTCTGAAACTCTATGGTTTGAACCCTTGAAGATTTTGCTAAGCCAGCCCATTAAGTGCAATTGAGCTGGCTCATAGTCAGCCTCTCAGTGAGGCCTTTACTGACAGCCCCTTAAGTTTGCTCGATGAAGGTTTAAGAAGCTCAATGTGACACTTCAAGATGTAAACAAAGTTATGTTTACTACACACAAGTGTGTAAAATTATTGAAGAAAACTCTGATGATTTTTAATTTTTTTTCCTTCTGCAGCTGTGATTGAGAGCATGTGCTCTAACCCTCTGAGCTACAGAAAACTTCTAATGGAAAAACCTGAAAATGATAAATTTACATTTTAAATAAGAGATGATATTATTTGGAATTTCATAGCTTTTCAATCTATGTTGATAAAAGAAACTATTTTTCGACACGACTAGTTAACCGGCCTCTGATTCCAGGTTCAGTCCCAGGATAATTCATGGAGCATATAATAAACAAGATTTTTTACCTTATTGTCAGTTTCGAGTTCAAGTGTAGTCTGCTTTAGCTTATCCAGACCCAAATTACAAAAATTTGAACCCCATAACCTCAATACGTTAGGATAGAATACATTGAAACAATTTATCATCGTTTATACAGAAATTAGCAACCCAGACAAGAACTATCCAATATATCTAGGAATACAATTTGAAGCTTACAGAAATACAGCAAGCTCGTCGAACCACATGTAGAACCAAATGCATCTAAACTTCATCAAACCCATATAAACATATGGTGGAAAAAGCACACAAAAACGAAAGAAATAGCTGCAAAAACGAAGTATAACCACGTTTTATCCTCTATCCCAGACAAGCACTTAACCAAAAAGGCCAATGATTCGAGCATAACTAACATGGAATTGATAGCCCTAATACTTAAAAAGTTACAAAACAACGATCTTTTCGCTCCCTACAACATAAACAATTCAATCAAAAGAATGATCTTTTCCAGATGAAGATGCTTTCTAAATCAAGACAACTGATAGAAGAACTATTGTACAAACCATAAAACAAATTAAAAAATATATAAACACACATATACACATTAAACTATCAGCTCACCTTTATATGGACTCTACATAACAAAAGGTTAAAGGAAAAGCAACTCAATCAAGAACCCATTAAAGATTTCTGCACTAACCCTTCAATGCATTCAATCGAAAAGCAGCAAAAAGGAACAATCTTTGAAGCAATTATAATCCCAAAAGGCTGAATTTGAAAATTTCAGAATCAAGAATCTTTTTTTTTTCTTTTTTTTTCTCCTTTATACCCTCAAAGGGATAGCTCATAAGCTATAAACATAAACAAGTAACCATGGTGATGAATGACAGAAAAAAAAATTCTATTGCAAAATTCCCCCACCAAGAAACTGAAAAAAAAAAATAAATAAATAAATAAATAAATAAATAAATCTTGTGGGAAAATATTGCTGTAAGAAGAATAATGGCTTTCAAATTCAACGAGAGACAAACATACTTTCGAATGATATATATGCTAAATTTTAACACCCAAAAAACGTTTGACTAAGGAAACATCAAACGTATTTTGGTGCTTTTGCTTGGGTTGTTGAATTGGAATGGTTAAAAAGGTCGACAATATTTATGTCACGTGGGGCTGTGTTTTGGATTTTCTTTTTTTTTTTTT